CTTAACAGCAACCCAGTTTAATGAGTATAAATTATGGCCCATGTGCTCCTGTATACTATACCCCGAAACACTCATGAGTCTGTGCATGTTTGCTCACCAGGCTCTATGTCAAGGTGCACAACATTTTGCAGCTGCTGCGCCGTGCCCTCGCCGAAAGCCTGGCAGCACATGAGAAGCCTTGTGCAGTAACCGACTGGACAACTGAATGCGCGTTTGTTCATGCGGAGGGTCCTCGTGTATCATCCGGCAAAAATACCCGCAGATACACGCAAGCCAATAAGGAGGACCCAAATGGTAGTTTCCTAAAATAGGGGGAACAAAATATAGACCCCAAAATAGTGGAATCCTTATTATAGGGATCCCCAGACAGGTGCCCCTCAATTTGGGACACCCCCACATGGCAAAACACTGGCAATGAGACGGGGGAAGTAAGCTGTGACTTTCTCCAAGTTTGTCACATGGACACTGCTGGGCCCCAACAAGAAGACATGAGTAGCGTCTTTTTGGTGATTGAATTGAAGCCAGTGATGAGATTATATCATGTACTATACCCAAAAGGCAGATCCATCTTAGTCTATATTTGGGTACCAACCATGGTATCCCCCAAATACAATACTACTCACAAGCAAAGCACTCCAAAGCATGATGTAGGGTAACGAGCTGGCTGCTGGTAGCATACGTATGGCTGACTAATCAACACAGCTTGGGCTTTGTCGTGGGCTGGACTCCCAAAGTAGGAAACAAAATGCATACTTTGAGGCTCAGGCTCTACCCAGACAGGCACATGTCCATGCTGCGGATTGGCTGTTGGATGCGCAGAGCCCGGAATTGTAGCATTGACGGTAGGAATTTTCTGTTGTAGTGCTTTGACTGGACAATTCTTTGCTACCACCAAAGCTGTGTAAACCCTAAAACCTAAACCCTGAACTTGGTACACATCTAAACTGGAAGCCCCCACTCCTATGGTAACAAACAGGAGAACTTCAGAATGCTGACAGGCACATGTGGAAAAGCTGAAGGGAGCTGAGCAAATCACTAACATCAGAATGCCTTGGCGTAGGCAGGCCGTTGGAGCAGCTGGAGCATATAGCGCCTGGCACAACAGTTGGGAAGTTAAGTGTTTAGTCGACTGCAAGTAGATTGAGTTTGGCAATTCGGAGGCCCACAATGCATTCTCTGTGGTCCTGTAACTGTAGTTACCCTGTCTGCTTCAGAAGGATTGGAGGTGCAGCCGCTGCTATTAAAAGTGCACAACGTTGGTTGCGGCGATGGCATCAGCTTTGGCAATTGGCCTGCTCATTGATGTTGTACTTATTGTGCTGGTGGTGGCTATTTAACGTGAGGGTGGCTACAGAGGCTGTGCAAGTCATCGGAAGCTATATTGCAAGTTCCAAGGTCAATATCTTAACAGGATTTCAGGTCTCCAACGTTGGGACGCCCATGTGCTGTTCATCGTGCGAGGCTGTCAGTTTTCGAGCCTGCCATTACCTGACCTTGGCCACACCCACGTGCAGCTCAGGCATGTTACAAACAGGGTTTAGGGTTGAGGGTTTAGGGCGGTTTAGGGAGAAATCTTCAGCTAAGAGCCCTAGAGCAAAACCCTGCTCAAGAATCATGCCACTTTGAGAAGTGCCGCCATGCCACTGCACATTTGGCCAGCGAGGGAGCGTGTTGATGTCTGGGAAAAACAATGGTACCTCACATGACCGTAAGTCTTTGATGGGCTTAGGGTTTACAGAGTACACAATGTCAACAAGCCACGCTGGAGGTTTCTGGGCGTAGGCTTTTACTGGGGATCTACGTCTATGACTCGCGGCCCTGAGGTCAATGAATATTTGTTGTTTGAGCTACTTAGATATCCAGGATTTAGGCCCAGAAGAGTATTTCAGCCGCACGCTTTTATGGCTCAGGGCTCTTTCGAGCCATTTTTCAGCCAGTCCAGGACCGTTACATATGCTAGATCCCAAAGACCTTCGGTTTCCGGACTTCAAAAGAGGGATCTATAGTCCCCCTTAAGTGGATATTATAGGGAGAATGGAAAAGAAAATGGAAACTGCCATAGTATAATAGGGTATATATTGGGGTTATAGTCCCCCTTCAGTAGATAGAATATGGGTTATATGGGGATCTTATTATACTATACCCAAAGCCGTATTTTATCTGCTTAAGGGGGACTATAGGCTTTAGGTTTATACCATGCGGGATCTGAAAGCTGAAGATCTTCTCCCAACTCCAAAGCTTAAACCCTCAGGCAGCCCCTTGTACCCTCAAGTTTGCCCTAAAGCCCTTACATTTTCTGTGGGTCTCCTAACTACCACCCTGTGAGCCTAGCTGCGGGCAACCTGCGTCAGAACTAGAATCTGAACCCTATTCCTAGACCCTCCTCCTACCCTCTATTAGGGCTTAAATACCCATTATTAGGGACCACATATCCCCAATTAAGGGTACAAGGAAGGCCCTAAACCCTAAACCCTCCTGGTAGACATTCTGAATCCAGAGCAAGTATTCGCCATGTTGCAATTGCAGTCTGCGCCCTAAGCTCTAAACCTAGGTTCTCTTGGCATCGTTAGACTCAGCGCCAGGCGTATAGCAGGTAGGACCCGACAGCCACATCCGCGACGGAGAAAGACTCCTGGCGTCGGGTACAGCAGAGTACCCGACACCCGTATTTGTAGCTTGTTTAGGGTTCAGGGTTTAGCTCTGCATGCTGACGCGATTGGAGAGGGCCCCCTAGCCCGGTAAGGCTGTGGTTTGTTCTCAGTGCACCACCGTTCCTGGCTGGGGCGCCCAACTAGGCACAAGGATTGGCTAGTACTGGAAATCTACGAAAATTCATAGTAGCAATGATGTTAATTAAAAACAAAATAACAACCGTACAACAAGCAAGAACACACATATCGACAAAATTGAACATAATCCTCGTGATGCGGAAGTTCAGGGTCGAAATTGGAATCGGAAGAGTCAAGCCAACAAGCTCAACCTTGACTATGACTTACTGGTGCTCAAGGGGGGGGAGTAACGGGGGGAGTATGGGAGAGAATATAGGGTTTAGGGCTTGATTCGGGTTTAGGGTTTAGAGTGGGTGAATGGAGGGTTTACGGCTTAGGGTGGGGGAGTGAATATAAGGACTATTGTAGGGGTATATCTGGGGATGACGTAGGGACGATTATATGAGTCCACTCCCCCAAGCACCAGTGAGATGACACAGGATTCACAGACCTACACCAACTGTCTGTAGTACAGGGCTAGGGTCGCGGCAAATCCTGCAATCTTGCTTCGGAATGATTCGAAAGAATAAGCAACGTTCCTGCTGCCATTCAACTTTCGAGAGTTGACATGACAGCAGGGAGAACCAGTCACTGGCAAAATCCTGCAGACGTAACGTTGAAGGCTCGTGCAGAAACAAGCCGCCAATGATATGCTCCCGGAATTATCAGCATTCCCTCTCACCGGTTCCTCACCATTGCCCAGCAGGAATTCTCGATCTGCGAGCAAGGCGTCGAGCGTCCTCGCGCACGCTTCGGGCTTCAGAAAACAGAATTTGAATTTTAAATATTGCTTTAATAGTTTATTATACTATACTCATACTATATTAATACTAGATTGATAGTATTTTATACTATACTCATACTGTATTCATACTATCTTAACATGAGGAGAGCTTTGCAGCATCCTACCCGGCCTTCTGCTTCGCATCTCTACTTCAACTGTTACTGCTGTCCCCCTTGTGCTGAAATTGACAATGTCGGACGGGGATATCATGCTTCTAGTCAAAGCTACCACTAGGTCATATGAAGATCATTACCAGAGAACATAGGGAATAATGTTTAATGGAGAAAAGATTGTTGGTACTAAGAAATCCTGCTATGATAAGGAGAACTGGTTGCGAGCATGCTTTTGCTCATGGTCTTCTTCTTTTCCCTCTCTTTTATCGCATGTCCTCAGCGGAGGTGGATCGTCGGCCAAGCCAGTGCCAAGCACACGGCCATTGCCGTCTTCCTGGCTATCCCACCAAGGGATGCGAAAGAATGCAGATCTATGTGAGCTACAGTCTAAACGGTCTAAACCCCTANNCTTAATAACCCCTGCAGTAATCCCCATGTAATCCCTAACATAGGGCCCCTGTAAGGAGTTCAGATTATGGCTTATTCGCATATGCAGGACAGTTCTGCCCGGTTTGGTTCCCATCGTTCTGGAGGGTTCGCAATGCTTTTGCAGACTACAGGTTTGCAAAATCTTGCGCCTCGTTTAGGGTTTAGGGGTTTAGGGTTTGGGGTTTAGGCCTTGGGGTTTGGGGTTTTAGGGTTTAGGGTTTCGGGCTTAGGGTTTTAGGTTTAAGGGTTTAGGGCAGGAAAAAACTGATTGAAAAAAGCTGCTTTGTGGCTGATGCTTGTTCAAGGTTGAGTGTTGACGGCCTAGTTAGGGTCTGGCCTTTATGCTTTAAGAATTCGACTTCCCGATATGTTCAGACCCTAAACCCTGAATAGCAGTTTCCATTTTATTTTCCATTATCCCAATATGCCCCCAATGTACTGTAGTAGTTTCCATTTTCTTTTCCATTAGCCCTGAACCCGGAACCCCAATGTAACCTTCTTTTTTCTCAGTAAGCACTTGCTTTGGCTCTAGAGACTAAGCCGCAGCCAGGTTGCACACAACCCAGAACATATGCTTCCCAATTTGGCAGGTCAGACAGGATTTCTGCCTTCATGGACCACTGCGGTAATATTCGGGTTATATTAGAGGTTTTGTTGGGATCATGCAAAATAAAATGGAAACTACTATAGTATATTGAGGTTATATGGGGATCCTGGAAGAGAAATATTGGGATAATGGAAAATAAAATGGAAACTACTATAGTATATTGGGGTTCTATTGGGATACTGGAAAATAAAATGGAAACTACTATAGTATGTTGGGGTTCTATTGGGATAGTGCAAAATGAAATGCAAACTACTATAGTA